ATAATTTGTTTTGTGACTTCACTGATGCAAAGACAAAACGAAAAAAGGAACCCAAAGATGAAAATCCTAAACTGTTCAAAGTTTTGATATGTGAGAGTAACTGGCACTTAGTAATAAGCAGAAATTGGTAAAGAAAAGAGAAACACTGTACCAATATTATTTCTTTCTTTATTTTTATTCCTCAGTCAGGAGCATTCTGGAAGCACTTTGACGTGTCTCTGTCTTGCAGTTGCATTTATTTTCATTTTGGTAAACCCTAAGGTCTTTTATTTTTTGCTTATCTCTAAATCCTTTATTACTACTCTCTTTGAAAAACTGTCTGAGCAGAAGATGCTTTGAGTTACATGAGCAGTAGTGACTTTGATAACAAGATTTGCAGTATTTTCAGTAATATAGGAGGTTTTCCTTAGGCTTTTTAATACTTTACTTGCTGTTTTCATTAGTTAGGTAGTGAAAAGATTTCCTCGTGGAAATTTCCCAATGAAAAACGAGCCTTTTTCTCACATTTTCTGATGATTAAATTGGCATAGCAAAGTACATATATGTGTAACCTAATCACCCTTGCCTTTTCTGTACCCGTGTGCAGTCCAGCTCTGTATTGCATCCCTCTGAATTGGCACAAACTTGGTTCTTAATCTGCTTAAAAAAACTGTGTGTGCTCATAACCCACTTAGGAAATGCTTTTTCCAAACCGTTGTTCCTTTTAAATGCCAAAACCTTAGTGCCAAATTTTTGGCAATGACCAAACAGTGACCACTGATCCCCACTTGGTGTTTGGTGCAGCTGGCTGGAGATCACAGTTGGTGAGGCATTGCTGGAGTGGTTTCTAGGCCAGATGAAGTGTTCCTGTACAGCAGTAATATCTAATTCTTAGAGAATTTTTAGTGATACATTTGTAAGGTAACTTTTTCGTGAGAAGTTTGTGTTGTCTACTGCATAGGTACTGACAACCATGTGAATCTTCATCCCCCCAAAAAAACCCCAGGGGGGATGTGATGGGGAGGAGGACACACAGCTCTTCTGCCAGATTCAGAAACTACCTAAACCTCCAAAATATCCCAGATTAAATATCCCCAGGACTGAAACAGGCTTCTTTCTAAGCTGAGCTTTCAAATGGAAGTAAATCTCCAGTGGTGTCTCCAAAATTCATGGCTCTAAAAGGTTCAAGCCAATCAGCCTCCTCTAAGGCAGTCTCACAGCTTTTAACCCACACCGTGCTCTCTCTTCAATAATGCATTGCCCTGAGGTAAAAGTGGATTGTTTCAGACGTGGATAAGCAGCCAGAGAAGAGAAGTTAAACATCCCTGCAGAGCAGAGTTAGTTTGCTTTGGTTTTCCTTTTTCTCTGGGAAGAATTACAAATTTTCTGTATGAATAATATCCATTACCTATTTAACCCTTTTGCCAGGCAGGCATGTGGGGCTGTGCAGAGCCCAGCACACCAATCCATCACACTCACCAGAGAAGGGAAAATTTATAGAAAAGCCAGTGACTTCAGGGACTTGTAATGGGTTTCAAAGTTGGTTTGGCTGCCTGTGTGTGTCGAGCTATTTGTAATCCAACAGCCTGAACCACTAAACACATAAAGGGGACACGTGCTGAACTGATGCTTCTTTTTGCTCTTTGTGTCTTTTTCTTAGACTATTCTGCCTATAGAGCTCATGGAAAAATTTACAGGGCAAGGTTTAATTCACAATGTTTAGCAGCTGGCACCTACACAGACAGAGTTTGTGTACAGCCAGAGGAGAAGAGTGCAAAGCAGAAGCTTCAAAAAAATACATCATGGGCCTGCTCACCACCCACAGTTTTACTCAGCAAAGCTCAGCTGCTGCTCCCCATGGCTTGTTAATGAAGACACAGCTGGTAAAACATTCCACCTAAGCAGGAAATGGGAGCTCTTAAAACAAGTTAATGAGAACAACGTGAAAGACTAACTCACAGACTACACTGGAGGTGGAACAACTAGAAAACCAAACAATACCTGTGAAGTTTCAGGAAAGCAAGAGGATCAACAATTGATTTTTGGCAGTTCCATGCAGTGGAAACACAGTACACCTCTACTTAGCTCAAAGATTAGAATAATCCACTTAACTGGCGCAAACCTGAGAAACATCCCTCCATGAGCCACTTATTTTTGTCTAGCCAAATTTGTCTTACAAAGGTTACAAAAATTATGCTCAGATACCCTAAAATCAGTTGGGTTCTTATTCTGTTCTGTCAGGGAGACTGGTGATTATTTGTATGCTCTTCTGACAGTGACCTCTGCGAAGAAGCTGACTGTATGACCAGCAAATCTTGGTAATTTGGGGGGAATAAATGAGACTTCCAGATCCAAGTAACTTTAGAAGCAAAAGTGAAGGTATTTGGTGTCTGGAGCTCAGCTGACCAATGGCTGGTGGTGCAACCTGCAGTGGATTTTCATCCATTCATCATCAGCATATCAGGGACACGTTTGTAGGGTCGGGAGTCTCTACAAAAAAATGTGGAAGAATTTCTTGACCAACTCATAAAAGCACTTTTTTCATCCTGCTCTCTGCTAGGATTGATTTTTCCCTAGCAGATGTCAGTGAAAGGAGTGGGGCAGAAGAGAGGGAGGTGCCTTAATTTGTAGTTTTTGCTTTTGATTGGTGAGTTTTAAATTGGACTTGGCTCACTGTGTTACTGGCATTTTAGCTAGTGCTCAATTCCAGCTTCCATTTCAATTTTCTAAATTTTCTTGGTTAAAATTCTGATATTTTTTTTTTCCCCCAAAGCAAAAGTGCAGAAGAATGGTTCAGTAAATCATTGAAGCACTATATGTTTTATGCTTCAATCTAAACAATAATTGATTCAATGAATTAATTTCTGAAGTATCTCAATGAAACATAAATTGTATTGTTTGAACTGTTAGTCCTGGGGAAGCTATCATATATTTTTTAACTTTATAACTGTTTAAAGAAGCCTAATCTGGAAGGAAAATGCAGGACTGTGTTTCCCTCAGTGATACTTTATACAGTGTGACAAAGAGTCAGCTCAGACAGGCATAAATTTTGTATTTTCATGTTATCAAAAGACCTGACCCAGAGAATAAGCAGGTGTTCTGTACCAAAAAATTACTTTACCATGTCACTATACATCTATCTGTCTATCTATCTACCTGTCTCTCTCTAAGTTATGGAAAAAATACAGAATCATTAGTGCAGAGAAACTACACAAACTGAAAGAGGTTAGAGTGTAAAGACTGAAGGTAGTAAAATATCCAGAGAAGCAAAGCATTGTGCTTAGATATTTTCACTTGGGAATGTGGAAATAGAAAACATAAAACAAACCTTTGCTTCTTCAAGGAGAAGCTGTTGTGTGTTGCCTGGAAGAAGCCACCAAGTGACTGGCTCAGTCAGCAGAAGTCTGTGGTTGTGGAGGAACTGTAGTCACCTGGAAGCAGGTGGTGTGTTCCCTAAACCTTTATTAAGAAATTGAGAAGATGAAGGTCTTGGGAAGGCATCTAATTCCATCACTTGGAACACTAAGTGATGAACTTGGTAGATGTGACACACTTCTATGTCTGTAAAAATGGCCTGAATCAGAGGGTGGTCTCTTCATATCATTGCAAAGAATATTTTTCCCAATTTGCAATGTTTCTTGATTAAACTATCATGGATCGTATCAAATCACTGAAAGTTAAGAGAAAAATTATAATACCTCCAGAAGCTTTTGCCCTTGGTAACCTACTTTCTAATTAAGCTCCAAGTTGAATATAACAAGTCTTTCTGTAAAAGTAGAGGTGCCTCTGATGATTAGGAAAAGAAATTTGATTATTCAAAGGGTTCAGTGTTTGAAATTATTCCCTAACATCTCCTGGGGGACTTCTCATTAGTGTTCTTATTGGTAGCACTAAATTACATAAGTAGTCCCAATATATTTCCAATTCCAAGGAGAAATTTAGAAGTTCAAGAGTTTTCACATTTTTGTATTCTTAATATCAACATTGGTAAAAATAGTTCTCTTGCAGGTGAGATGCTTCTGGGGGTAAAATTGGATGGTCACATACCTAAGTTGTCATTAATTTAGGTCATGGCAATAATGAAAATCTTTTATGAAGTTGCATTAGTTTATTAGAAAAGACAAAATTACCTAAAAGAATCTTAAATTCCTTTGTATAAGGCAGGTTGAGGAAAAACAGTGCTGTACACCGAATTATGTGTTTTGGTTCTGCTTTCCCTTTCCTGGTTTTGTTACTTTATGCACTACAAGTTGTGGAAATCTATGATCCTGATGAATCACAATCTGTTATGTCACTGATGCCTTAATAGCAGATACTTATGGAAGGTTGGATTACACCTTATTCTAAAAGTGCAGCAAATTGTTCATGGGCTGTATTTGCATTTATTGATACTTTTGAAAGAGAGACTGATTATACTTTACAATTCAGACAGACCCAAGAAATGGGGAATTTATGAAAGTAAGATCCAGAGGCTTATTTCGCTTAAACAGGATATATAAACAAATGGTTCCTGGCTAATTAATTGGGTTTTGCTATTTTTTTTTTGTCATAGGCCACTCAACTTTTTTTTTGGCATAGTGTATTAGCAGCCCTGAGCACACTGGGAATGGAGAGTTGAGTTCTTGTACTTTGAGTTGAACCCACTGAGATGCAGAGCTGTCACCATCCTGTGTCCAGGACAAACATTTCCTTTGGGAGCTCTTTCAGCCTTTGTGCCCTGATCCCCAGACATCTGTAGTAAATAATTTGTCACCGTGGTGCTCGTGAAGGGTTCTTGAGAGAAAACGTGCAGAAGTGAATTCATGCATCTTTTACTGAGTTCTGACATATCTAATTCTAAACTTCAGCTTCACAGGCTTTCATTTCATTATTTCTAATTGCTCAGAATTAATGAATATTTAGAGTCTCATAAGCAAGAGAGAACATTGCTGGTAATTAAGATGCAGCAGGTTATCTGATTTGATTTTACTTCTACATCTACTTGATAACTTGCCCAAAAAAGTAATTGACTTGTATATTTTAGCTGTATTTACAGATTTCAACTTGAAGAGTCAGCTCTGATACACAGCTTGGAAGCAGATTTACATCCAAGCTGCCACTCTTGGTTGGTAGGAATTCACAAGTTCCAAAAATCATGTTTGAAACTGGTACTCTCACACATGTTGTTGTATAGAAAGAAATAATAATTTATTTTTTTTTTTTAAGCAAAGGCAAAAAGAAAGAAAAAAAAACCTCTTACAAAGGAAAAACAATACAAACAAACAGTCCCCTGGAGCTTTAGTGATGTGCTGGGGCCCAGATAAAGGGCTTTAGTAGAAGGCAGATATATCACAGTGAAGCCACTGAGCTTTGAGATGAGACCAAATGCAAAAGCAAACAGAATTTGATGGAGCTGTTTCTTGTCCACAGAACTGATCTATGTGGGCTTTGTTTTCCTTTTAACATGGTGCAGATATTTTAGGGATTTCCACACAGGTGTGTTTTGAGTCTGTGTATTAGGCATGTCCATGTATCAAGAAGGGTGACCAAGAGTGCACTTTGGAGTTTGTGAAGCTTTGTGGTATTTTTGAAACCTTTCTAAAGCTTTTGAACTAATGTGTTGTTACTAATGGATTTTCACAGTGCCAAGTCCAGAATGATCCCTCTTTGCACTGGGTGCTTTCTGATCCTACTGGGAAAATACCTTAAAAATTAGCACAAGAAGCAAGTGGGTGAGTGTAGACTCTCACACCATCCATTTATATATATATATTTGTGTGTGTATATATATATTTGTGTGTATATATAAAATATATTTGTATATGTACAAATATATATTTGTGTATACACACACATTTGTGTATACACACACATATATATTTGTATATACACACACACAGATATATATTTAGGTTCAATAAAAACATAATTGACGAATTTCCAAATTGCTCCTGTGTTTTTTGCTGTACTATATAATTATCAGAAGGAATTCATGCTTGCAGTCTCTTTTTTTTGTACATATCATCCTCGAACACTGATATGTTTGAGAACAGAGTTTAAATCTGGGGTGGGGTAGGGGAATGACAACATATAACCCCTTCAGCAAAAGGTAGTCTGTCTTCTGTCAAGAAGTTTTAGTTCTTGGAAAAGTTCATTTTTTTCTTCCTCCTCAGACAACAAGTTCCATGTTTCAGAGTAAAGATGCAGCACTTGTGCCAGCTGTGAGTGCACTGGGTTCAGCTTGTTTGTCTGAGCCTCTGGAGACATCTTGTCTATACCAGACACGTATAGACATTTAATATGGCTCATTTCACCTCTGAAGCATCAGATTAGAAATTACTGAAGAGAATCAATTTGGAGCAAAGAATGTGAACTGACATTTTTTTTTTAATTTAATGATTTTCTTGGTGTTACATAATATCAGAACAGATCAGAAAATGAATAATGGAATATCAGAAGTTCTCGTTGAAGCCAAACTTTTGTGTGTTTCTAAATGAATAATAAAGTGTTTCATGTAACAGAGCACAGCAGATCTTGACTTGATAGTGAGGAAGGGTGGTGGCATTAGCACTGTGGACACCACCACATCCCACTCCCCCTGGATGTTGTTACATAGAACTTTACTTTTTTTCTGGTCCAGAATGGCAGCAAAGGGGACCCAGAAGCCACATTGCATCTGTGGTTGTGCTCTGAGCAATCCTAGAGAAGGGAATATGACTTGAGGGTGGTTAAATGGGAGAGAAGGATAATTTTACAGTCATTATGACTCCCCATTTCATCAAGCTCTTCTCCCCTTACTTTCCCAGTAGTCTGCATTAATTAACTTATTGAATGGTGTGATTCTAACAAAGCTTTCTTTGTTATAGATCCTTGCAGAGAAATACAGCAGAGACTTCATAGATTTGAGTTTCCTCCCTGTTGGTAGAATGTGGATAACATGTAGAGAAGTGACTCAGATTCATCGTAGGAAAATATCACATGTGATAAGTCTGTACTGCTTAAATGTTTTTAAAGCAACAGTTTGCTAAGAGTCACTGTTGAACTGTGAAAAATGTGTTGAATTTGGGGCATGTAAAAGTAATAGATGAGAGTGGGATCATTAAAATAAATACATGATGTGTGTGCTTTTCATTCCTACACAGTGATCATCTGTATTATTATGTATTAATACACATAATTAACTATACATATAATTAAAATCATTCAGCTACAGCTATTTTCTCAGTCAGTAGAGACCTGTCCCTACTTCATTTCTTGTTTTATGTTTTCAGTGGTTTTTCATGTGAATAGCATTTTATCAAAACTTGGAGAGAATCCATTAACATAAAAGGTTTCTATCAGACAGAATTATATTAACAAAGCTGCCTTTCTCCTTATATTGTCACACAGCAAATGTCCTGAAACTGCAAGATATTATTTACAAATATTTGTGGGTTTTGAATGCAGCTACTTGTTGAACACAAGTGGAGCAGTGAAGTTATGTAGCCACTTAACTTGCTGGCAACTCCCATCAGCCATATCACAAACCAGATTTGGGAGAGGTTGTAGATTAAGATTTTTCATGGAGTAAAATATTTAATATGACTTTCAAAAGCAATCAAATACTGCACATCAAACAAACCAGAAGTATGCAAACTCTTATTCTGCACTGCTAAACTGTGTTGCTGCCTCACTTCAAGCAAAATCCTCTGAAATATCACTTCTTGCACCTTTTTTTTCTCTGCCTTGCGTGGTTCTGTGAGAAATAAAAATATGGGTTTTTACAGGCATATGGTGAAGTTATAAGATATTCAAGTCCCGGATTGGGTATCAGGGACTTTTTTAGCTGGATAAGGGAAACCTAAAAGTTCCTAAAAACTAGAATTTTTTTGGATCATGTGAGAATTTTTGCACACCAGGGTTTCTTCTCTCTCTGGGCTGAGAACAAAGGAAGATCCATCATTTTTGACAGAGGATGCCCAGCAGCCAATCGAAAGAAAGGGAAAGCCCCTTTTCAGAGAAAAGAAACTTTTTTAGGCAAAAATGAATATGTCAAATTTATCTGAAAAGGGTGGGGATTTTGTGAAACTATAAAATGTATGGAATTAAATGTATGTATAGGTGAAACTATTAAATGTATGGAATGCCTTTTCCCTGGAAACTCGGTGCAAGAAAGACCCAATGCGTTGAATAAATTCTTCCTTGTTTCTTTGTTCCCCGAGTTTATGCCATCTTTCTAAATTTAAAAAGAGGGATATTTCCCACAGTTCTTTATATCTTTGCCAAGTTTTTTTTTCTAGTTTGACTTGTCTCTCAGCAGTCAGCATTTCCCCTGACTGTTGATGTTTCTCCCTCGTGCTGAGCCCTGGTGTTCACCATGTGCCATCCCCCCAATCCTTCAGTTCTCTCTGCTTTGGACCCTTGGCTGGAGGCCCTGAGGAAACTGGGAGGGGGGTGATGAACAGCGAGAACAAGTGATGTGTGAGAAATCACCTGCACTTGCCCTTTGAGTCAGCAGCCAGTGTGAGTACTTTGGGGGGAGCTTGGGTGACAAATGAGAAATTTTTCCTCTTCTTTGGAAAACTCAGCAAGCCCATGCTAATGTGCAGCAATATATCGTGAAGGGGAGAGCCAGCCAAGACCTAAAAGGCCTGGTGAAGTGCTTACTGTTAATTTATTTGAGGGGTAAGTAAATATGCATTATGTCTTTGTATATTCAGCAAGTGCTTTGCCAGTGGAAGGACACATACAAATCACAGTAATGTTTTTCTTGATGTGTTGGCCAAACCATTGGCCATGTCTGTGGCTTTTTTTTCCTTCCTAGAGGGTCAATCAATAATCCTAACCTATCATATCATTCTGTTAATCTTAAAAAAAACCAAACAGATGCAAGATAAATGTATAATGTATTTATTACACTATTCTGATTTTGATCTTTTTAGTGCTAGGTGACAGGTAACAGCAGACAGCTTTGAAGGGTCCAAATGCCCTCCAAAACCTCGGTAAGCAATTTATATTTCCCACCTGTTAGACCTTTCCCAAACTGTTCAGTGATAATTGTTTTGAAGGATTAATCAATGGTAAGTCACTGTTGGCTGCTGCACCTGGACCAAAAGGGGGGGAGGAAGTGGTAGGAGCTGAGGTTTCCTTTTTGGGTGTGTTTATTAATTTCTAAGCAGGATGGAATGGATTGGATAAACTTAGCTATTGATCTTGTGGGTTTTAATTGTTAGTCATTAAATTGTTAACTGTTTTTACCTTACATCAGATGTGTCTAAGCAGTAGCTTTTATGGCAACATAGCAGATAAAGGTGAGACAACTTCATTTCTGTTCTTAGTCATCCAGTTGCTGCTCACCATCCTGGTAAGTCACTTCACTGAAACAGGAAGGTTTAGGATTCATCTGGGGGCATTTGTGTTAAGATAAAATTCCTTCCCTGTGGGAGTGCAAATTCAAGCAACCTCCAGTGGTTAAACGGTCTTTTAAATTGGCTTAAAACTAACTTAAACCCAAATTTTAATGGACTGAAACCAAACTTTTTAGCTATCTTTGAGATTGCCTGTGAAAATCTTCTGGAAATTTCTGCAGGTGTTGTATTGAATCCTGTGGGCTTCTCACTAGAAAGCTATAAAGCAATCTCAGAAATTCACAGAAAATATTATGGACTTGACCATGATATAAGTGGACCATAAAATATATTAATCAAATGTCCTCAACTCCTGGTAATTTCCTTTTCTTCCTAATGCATTATTTATTTTTTGTTTTAATATAAAACTGTCAAGTCTGGCTTATTTTCCACAATACCATTTGTTCTCATCTGAATGATTTTGCTGCTGGTAAGGCACTGGCTTATTAAAAAGCACAGGATGCTCTCAGTAAATTGGTATTACTTGACACCACCTGCTGCTTTCCTCCTAAAATGATTTCTTAAAATATGGTATATTCTTTTATTAAGTCAGCTAAGATTCTGCCTGTGCATCACTTCTCTTGATTACACGTTTTGTTTCCCAAATTGTCAAACCTACTTTATCTCCTCTTACAGTATCATATTACATTTCTCCTTTTCATCCATCAAGTTTGATTTTTTGGAGAGAGTTTCTTTGCGTTCCTTGGAAACAATTTAATACTTGGGAGGGAATAAAGCAAAGGCAAGAATAAAACAGTGAGAGCAAAGTAAGGTAGTATCATACCAAGGTACATCAGTAAAGGAAGAAACACCCCAGAGAGGGTGTGGGGTGGGTTGGGTTTGTACCAATATTTTACTCCTGCCTGTTACCCTCATTGCTGATTTTTCTCTTTTTTGATCCTTTTCTGGTGTTCTGTTTCCCAACTCTGGGCCTGATTGCCAGGTTGGTTTGAGCATGAGGGTTGTTTGATACACAATTATCTGAGGACTCTTTGTGAAAGAACTTCAAAAATGTGGGGTTTGAGATACGATTTCTATATATACAAAAGTAGACCTGCCTTTAGCACAGGGAGTTTTATAGTCAGTATTTAAATGTTTCAGAGGGAGTCAGAGGAGTTTGTGTGTATCTTATCTATGTGTTTTGGTACAATGCTCTTGGATTTTGTGTGTCTAAAATTATTAAACAGGAAACTACTAGTAATGTCTGATGTTAGAAAAAACCCCAATCCAAGTTCTGGAGGTTCTGTCAACATAAATTGTGTTGGCAGAGGTCCTTTCCAGCCAGCATTTCTCATTTGCTTTGTGGGTTACTCTCAGGAAACACAGGGCTCGTCGGGCTGCTTTATAATTTTATTTTTTTTACCTATGTTATCCTCTGGACTTAGCTTGTTTATACTCTTCTAAAGGGCTTTACCTTGCTCAGCTCTGTGTAGCTGAGCTGAGTTCAGAGACAGCTCACTGCCTTGCTTTGATTTCTTCTGGGGTTTCGGCGCTCACGCCGATCTCGAGGATTTTCCGTTGGACTACAAAAGTTGGAGTGAACTGGAAGAAAAAAAAAGACAATCTGCCAGCAGTGTTGTGGTTTGCCCACTGTTCTGAATTCAGGAGGAAAGAAATTTATTTTCTTCCTGCCTAAGCTCTGCACTTGTTTGCAGAGATAACAGCAAGAACCTGACACGGAATTTCGCTCCAAATCTATCGATGTAAACACAAAGAGCTCCATCGACTTATGTGGGATTTGGATCAGGTGCTTAATACTGGTGTTATGGAAAAAGAAAAAAAGACAATCACCAGGCATATTGTGAACTTGTAGAAACAGCTGTAGCGAATTTATTTTGCACAGAATTTAGTTACCTGGAGCTGTGGAGCCAGAGATAAGATTATATTCTCCTCTTTGTTGTGCGTCTGAATTATTGCAGTGACACTGGTTCAGGCAAGTTAAGTAAGAAATTAAATGTTCTGTGATTTCACAGGTATTGATCTTCAGAATGCTATTAATGATCTGGATAAATACCTGGGATATAAAACAGCCTCTGCTTGCTCTTGAGGATGCTTCTAAGTCATGAGGGATGGAAACTGAAAAAACATCCTTCCTAGTTGCTCTTGCCAATTATATTCAAGTTTATATGTGTTCATTAATTAGCACCACTTTTTTAAAAAAAAACAAACCTAAACACTGTCTTGAGTTTACTACTCTTTCTTTGGCAATGTTGGTTAAAAGGAGAAAAACTGAATAATCTGTAAGTGCCTGCCACAGACCTGAATACCAAGACTTTGCATCCTTGTCTTTAAGCAAGTTCTTCAAACTCTAACAAAAAATGAAGAGATAAGTTAAAAAAAACCAAAACAAACAAAGCCCAATGAACAAAAGCTCATGAAAAAAGGTTTTGTAACGTACTGCCTATACTTTTGCTGAAATACTTTTTGTTTATATCCAGGAGCTTATTTGGATAGGGACTTTTGATATGCTGTTATGGCTCTTTTGGGTACAATTCAAGTAATAGCTTCTAAATTTTGGTGCATTGAGCTTCTTGGCAGAAAGAACAGACCAAGTTAG